TGACGCCATGTGCCTCCTCGCTCCCTGAGGTTATGTGGGGGAGTAGAGCAGTTCCCCAGAGCTGGCGGAGCCCACACCAGGCCCCCGCCCCCACCTGTGCTCCTGCCTTGCCTCGCCTCACCTCAGAGCTTACCGTAAGCTCCTCTCCCAGTGCACAGCCTTGCAAAGGCTATGCATGGCCAGACTTTTAGTTGTGCACGGCCGCGCATGTGCACACCTTAGAGGGAACCTTGCTGGACGGAGGTGCTGGTGAACAGGGTCAGAGAGACATGGAAGAGGTGGATCCACTGTCCCATGCCAACACTCCAAGAACCAGCCAATTTCCTCCACCACAACTGCTGCCAATATGGGCCAAGGGCATGGCTTCAATGTTGGGGTCCAGAGGCACCAGACCCCATCATCTGACAGGTAGCATGGAGGCCTCAGTGGCTGCCTATCTTACCAAGGACGTGGAGCCACTGCAATGCAACCCCTTGGCCTATTGTGCAACCTGCAGCTAGATCTGCCCATGGTTGCCCGGGAACACCTGTCCTGTCCACTGACCAGTGTTCCAAACAATAGGGTGTTCAGCATTGCTGAGCATGTTGTTACACCCCACCACACCTCCTTGAATCCTGGTTTGGTGGAGCAGCTAGTGTTCCTGAAGGTAAACCTCCCGCTGCTGGGGTTCCCCAAGCTCCACACGCAGACAGAGTGAGTGCCATCCTCCTCACTCTGCAGCTATTTCCTTTCTTTAATTGCTTTCACAACCATTTAATGCCCCGCTCCCAGAGCTGGAGGTGGCAATGATCCAGGAATGGCGACGGTTCTATTGTGGGGTGTAGTAATTGTGGGGGTACCGGAGTCATGTTGGCAGGTTTTGCATTTCTTGTCATAGCATGATCTGGATCCATTCAGTGTGTTTTGGGCTGTAGGAAGTTGGCTTCTGGTGATGAGGTTAGCAAGGTTCGGTGCTTGTTTGAATCTACAAAACACTTTTCACAGATGAGCCTATGAGCTTCACTTCATCAACCTCCTCGATACAAAAATTCATGGACTCAGTACAGACATTGGATTTATGACACACTGTAACCTGCCTGACATCTGACTCCCCAGGTACCTCTCCACTTTTAGCTGGCTGCTACATCCCCGTTTCCCCCCACCATCCTGGCCTGTCTCTCACCCCCTGATGCCTCAATTTACATTTTCGCTGACTAGCTTTCTTGCCTGCAGCCCAGCCTCTGGCTTCTTTACCATTCATTCCATCCAGGAAGAGAACACATACCAACTGCAGATGCTTCCTCAGCCTGACAAAGGGTTTTTAAACCTAAATGCTTGCCAAGATATATTTCTCCAACTATTCAGTTGGTCTAATAAATGATATCACATCTACTCAAAGAAAATTGCCTGCCTGTTCCTTAGACCAACTCAGCTACAACCAGAAAAACAGTTAACACACACAAGTGACACGAGTTTTGCTTACAACAGTTTAAGGTACACTTTCACAGAAGCCCCTGCACCTATCTCCTTGAAACCTGGCAGGCTTCCTGCCCAGTTTAGGGGCTATCATCCCTGCTGCTTTCACCCCACTCTGCCAACATATAACACAAGTTTTGCTTTCAACAGTTTGAGGTGCAGTTTAACAGAAACGCCTCCAACTATCTCCTTGAAACTTGGCAGATCTCATGCCCTCAGAAGGGGTTACCATCCCTGTTGTTTTCATCCAATTCTGCAAAAAAATGACAAAGTTATAGGTATTTTAGTGATTTTTTTCCCATTGTATTCTATAGCCAAATTACCGAATCAGCACCGAATCTTTCGAATCCAATTCGGCCAAATAGATTCAGGATGGTGATCTGAATCACTAAATTGAATCTCTGTCTTCCAAATCGGCTGAATCTGAATCGAATACTGGCCAGTTCGCACAGACCTATTGTACACAATGCCTCCTGTGCCACTTGTGGCCTGTGTTCTGTGAGTTGGCAATCCATGCTCTACGCCAAACAAGAAAAGCTACAGGGAAAAATATATAGTATGCACATACATGAATTAAACACTCACCATGTTTGTGTCATAACTCCTTTCATAGCCAGGTATTTGTGGAAAATCAGATATCAGTTTTCTTATTATTTTGAAGTTACCAACTTAATTCGCGAAGAGGGCAGAGTCAAATCCAAGTTTTTTTCTCTTCAGCGTGTGATGTACTTCAGCACAAACCTTGGGGGGAAGATATTAATTACAGAATATATCTATGAAGTAGACAAGTTTGCAAAATATAAGGTAATGTGTATCCATGCATCAGCAAGCAGGATTGCATACTGCATAGCTTTGAAGGTGGTACGATTACTGTTTTCCAGGGGAGAGTTAGGGGATGAACAGAAAAAGATTGTGATTATTTGACACAGATTAAATAATTATTTTGTTTCCCACTGACATAGGTACAATTCATCTATTCATTTCCTACGTGCCCAGCTATGAAGATGAACCAATAGAATATGCATAGGCATAAGTACTTACAAGAATAAATGAAAAATCATTGATATATTTGAGTTATGCAGTCTATTTTAATATTCTTTAGAACACTTATAAATCTCTTACATGTTAAGTTTAAAAGTTAATGTATTGTCTTTGTTGAAAGCATTTTGGCAATTATAGTAGTAAATGTAAAAGCAGAGAATGAAAAGGAGATACTTTAGCAAATAAAAATGAAATGACATTCCTGCAATGGCATGTTTCTCAATATATTTACATTAAAAACCGGGAGATATTAACCTCATTCTCAAAGCAAAAGCAGTGTAACATAGTCATTTTCTACACAATCAAAAAATAGCCAGAATCAGAATTGTTAAATTAATATAATTAATAGAACTGTATGGTGTATATTGTATAAATTAACATAATTTTGATTGATATAATTAAAACCATAAACACTTTTGTTAATCAAATTGTAATCTACATTATGATGGCTGAAAATAAAGATATATCCATTAGGCAACTAGTTTGTGCTTGACCAGTCACTAACTTTCAGTTGCGTTTCGCTTGTCTGACTTGAAAAATATAGAAGAAAACTAATGCAAAAAACTTGTCTTAATGCAACATTGTGAACCTGATTCAGGATAAAAACTATTTCTATTAACAACAACACTGGAGTGAATAGTCTCCCACACCCTGTATAAGTCCTTTTGTGCTGCTGAAGCTGTGCAAAAGGCCAAAATGCAACCTTGCTTGTCCTGCTGAGAATTCTTCCAAGATGGAGCTGTCAGTGGATATAAGAGTTGTGTTGAGAATTGGAAGGGGGGGCCAAACACACCTGCACTCCACTAATTTTCAGTTGTTGTGTAATCTTTTGAGGGATCACAGACAGCTGCTTTAAATTGTAACAACTCCTAAACCAGAGCAGATGCACTATGTGAATCAGGGAGATGTAACTATATCCTCTTCCTACTTCCCAAACCAGGCAACAATGTGTAACATTCACATTGCTACATTTTATCATAACAGACTCAGATATTATCAATGTCATCTGAAGTGCCATTCTGACCCAAGTATTGGCACTACAGCCAAATGTGCCAGTACTTGGTTTGTGAATATGGACTTGTGATTACAACAGAATCCGGTCCTCAGATTTACAAAAAATTAACTGAACACAATAAACCAGGTGTAACCAAACCAACATTTTTTGTTGCTCTACAAACATCCTGAAAGAATGGCTCAGAGATATGAACTGCCCTGTTCAACAGAACAGGGTGCCAACTCCAAAAATCACTGCTTTGAAGGGCCTTTAGACATAAGGGCTGAATCAGTTTGTCAGGAAACAGGATCTAGAAGCTGTAGTACAGTGTTAAATAGTTGTTATTCACCAATGAAATCTAGACCCCGTTAAAAGAGAGGAATGGAGATACTTGGGGCTACTATTCTAATTGTTTAGCCACCTACTTGTATGGCTGGAAGCAGCAGGATCCATGTCTTCTAAAGTGAATTATGGCCGGTAGTAAAAATAATTGAATGACTTCCGGTACCAATTGAAAGCTCAGTGGGATTACGGGAGCCAAGTTACCGAATGGAGATTTCAGCATGACCAAAATGGGACAACAGATTTTTCACTGTGGAAGACTGGTCTTTTCTAACTCCCAAATGCCAGTACAGTACAGAGTATTCAAAAGTAGAGATGAACAATAAATGGAACGAATATCAATCCCACAGGAAATTCATATATTTTCACGGTAGGCTTTTATCCTGCTGCAGGACAAAGACAAAATAGTGAAACTGGTGGAAAAACATCATTTTGTAAATATAGAAACATTTCATTTCACATCAGTGGTAATCTCTGCACCTGCCTGAGTGGCTATAATGCCCTATGAAGCTATAGCTCAGATGCCCTGTGCTGTCATTCTCTCCAGCAAGCAAGACTTCTTGATCAGAATGTGTCTTTCAGGGTGGTCTGTATCCTTTCCTCGTGGCTAGGGCATATATACACACAGTGTTCATAGACCAGCTTGGCTCACTGGAGAGGACAGACACAAAGCACTCAGAATAAAACTTCACTGTGGCACCATATCTCAACCAGTGCACAGATTAATAGTCAACCCAACTCAACAAAAAACGTTTTTTGATTTTGCTTACAAGATGTTGAAAAATTTGTGCACAATCAACATTTTTCACAGTTTAAAAAAGTCTGTTTTCTGTAGACCATTTTTTCTACTGAAAAATACATTAATAGTAAACTACTGATGAATGACACTGAATAGATGATTCCCTAGTGTCTTAGCCAAATTGAACATTATCACCAAGCTAAGAAACTTAGCATGTTGATAAGTCTGTACTGTAGATATATCCTTACACTGCAAATATAGAGATACCCTAGGTAGCTTGCGTGTTGAAAGCAGTCAAACTGCAACAATGATGAGCTTTGTGCTTCCTAATGTAATGTAATCAATTTTTACAGTTAAATTTGCCTGCATGAGCTCTCTGCTGCCACAACTAGACTGCTTCTGGGAGCTCAGTTATTTCTACTTGGCAGTCTGTTGTCTGTGGTACCTGTTTCTATATGATTCTGACATTTCACCCATTCCTACAAGAATTTGATGTTGAACTGACATTTTTACCAACTAATCTGTTATAAGCACTATAATTTTCTGCAATGTTTTTAACTATCCTTGGCTGCTAGTGAATTTATTCTTCTCATGTAAAAAAACCTCAGAAAAAATCATATACAGCGTTTTGTCAATTTGTGAGTAAACATTCAATGGTACTTCAAAGGGGAGTTTTATGAAGAATAAAATAAAATTTTTAAAGAAATGAACACATCTTACAGTATTTCTAAACTATAAAGGGTACAACCAGTACTAAATTTTGTTTACTTTTACACAAACATCTACACTAAGCCCTAGAGCTACACTGGCCCACAGTAGTGTGTCTTAGCCACTATTTGTCCTTAGGTTGCAGTGTAAAAGAGTACATGTTAACCTCTGAACAGAAACCAGTGCAAAGTCAGAACAAAACTAACACTTTTGTCCAAATGCAAACTTCATACCTTGTCTGTAAGGCACTTTAATTTTATACTTAACCTATTTTAAACAACTTATTTAGGGGCCAAATTCTGCAACCCCTTAGCTCCTCAACCAGCTATAAAAATACATATGGTGTCTTTTTGTCTTTATAGGAAGGAATATATGGTCTAGTCTTACTATTTTACATATTCCTCCCTATACATACATATGTGAGAAAGTGCCCTGATATATTCTAAATGTGACCTTAAATCCTGTAGATAGTCCACCTAAATCAAATGAATAGTTTAAACAGAGAATTTTCCAATGCAAATTATTAATATTTTTCACAAAGTCTTCAACTGTAATACTCATACTCTGCACAAGTTATTGAATCTGAAGGCATCTTTTTAGGTGCTAAAAGCAAAACTCAACTATTCAATTTGTTTAATTTGCTGCTGATGCCTACTTAGAATTCTGGACTACTTCTTACCATGAGAAATATGAACTGAAGCTATTAATGGTAATAATATATAATAGATATTGTAGCTTTCTGATATCCCATTCAGAGGATTTATTACTTCTGAAAGAGATTTATCAAAATTAAATACAGACTGCATAGGGTGATGCAGATTCAAACATCCTGCCTCACTTAGGCACACCTGCACATAAAGATTAATCATAGGTACTGCTTAAATGTGACAGATTTATCAATATTATATGGAAAGATATAGTGTAAAACTTTATCACCTTTGACTACATTGTGTTCAAAGGGATCCACTTCTAAGAGCAAATACTTTTTTCACAAAATGCTTATTTGGAAACAAGTATTGCTTTTCAAAATTAAATGAGAAATCTTATCGCACAAACTATATAATTAGTGTAAGATAACAGATGTTATATAGAGTGCTGGCTTTTATAAGCTTATTCAGGAAAAATATTACTTGAGAACCTACTTACTATTATTAACACCTCTATTACCCATAGGTCCACTGAAGAGGCCAGAAGTGAAGGATGAACTGCTCTATTTCCCCTCTGATGCATACAAATGTTCAGATCAACTAGCTGTAGCTGATGTTCAACTGGTTGATTTTCAAACAACTGAACTTGTATATAAGTGCAATGAGCTGTCTGTGTACTCTGCAGGCGGCCTGTAACACTAAAAGCACCCAGCCAGGGAGACCTGCAGCACACATCCCAGCATGCTTTGCAGGCTCTTCTTTCCATCTGAATTTAGGAGACAGCAGTCCAGGGCACAGGTCAGGCCTGACTGACTGGTGCTCCAAGGGACCCTGCCCTCCTTCCCCTCAACACCCCATCCATCCCTCCCTCAGCTGTCAGGCTGTCAGACAGCAGACAGAGCAAGTCTGCTATCTTCTCAAGCTTGTCAGTTCCCCTCCAGCAACCCAAGGGATCCTTATCCCCATGGCTTGCAGATCTTCACTCTTCAGCTCTCCAGCCCTTCAGATAGAGTTAGTAGGGAGTGTCTGAGGTTCTGGGAATCGGGGTAAGGGGGTTGGTCAGTGTCTGCAGGGAGCCGGTCCAGGGTTTCTGGTTCCCACTGGGGGCAGAGCAGTGTTTGTGCAGGGGATGGGTCTAAGGTCCCCAGTCCCAGCAGAGACAGGACCCCTCAGTTTGGGGCTGGGAACAGGTGGATGGAGGCCATGTCAGGGCAGGGGGCCAGGGGCATCAGGGGTCTCCAGGGTCCACAGGGGTGAAGGCAGGGCAGGCCATATCTGTTCAGGGGGTCAGGGGTCCAAGGGCCCGCAAGGGCAGAGGCAGGCTGTGTCCATGTGGGGGGCCAGGGTCAGGGTGTCAGGCCCAAGCAGAGGTAGGATTCTGCAGTTTGGGGCCAGGGATAGGAGGGTGGAGGCCATCTCCAGGTAGGAGTTGGAGTGGGGGGTCAGGAGTCTTCAGGAGCCCTGGGGGTGAGGGCAGGGCAGGCCATGTCTGTGTGGGGGTGGGGTGTCAGGACTCACCCAAAACACTCCAAGATCCCTTTAGTTGTGACGGAGAGGTTGATCTGCCAGACCCCACACCCTCTTCTTCAAAAACTGCAGGAATCCAGCCCCTGCTGGGACCTCAGATCTTGTCCCCCAGCACAGACACAGCCTGAAGGTCCAGGTAGGGTCTGTGTGGGACAGTCAGGAGGGAATGGAGCAGGGTGGGAATGCAGGGTGTGAGTTGTGTTTATGCAGAAGCTAAGAATTGAGTCTCTGGGGTTGGCAGGGGCAGTTCTGGCTGTGTCAGGGCAGGGTGGGAAGTTTCCGGGGTAGTGATGCTGAGTCGTGTTTGTGTGGAGGGATCGGAGGCCTCCGGGGGTTGGGAGGCGGGGGGAGTGGGCTGTGTACATGCTGGAAAGGAGATCAGAGATCTCCAGGGACCGCAGCTGAGCCATGTCCAGGTTGTGGGGAGAGGAAGCGGACTGTCTGGGCAGAGAGGTGGTGCTAAGGGGGCTCAAGGAAAGTGGGATTAGGGGCAGCTCAGGGGCCAATGCTGGCAGGTGGCTTTCCCCTACCAGCACCAGGTGGCAGTCTGACAGCTCCAAAGAATCAACTGCCAGAGGGAGGGGCTTTCTGCTATTTGGGCTGCAGCAGTACAGTGCAGCCCAAATCACATAGTACCTCCCTGTAGGGCAGCAGGGGGTGGGAGCAGGACACTGCTTAAGCACTGGTAGATAGTGAATAATCCTAGACAAATACTTATTTACACAAATGGCTTCATATATGGTTATGGTATCATGTGACCTTGCTATATTTAGCAAACATGATTTTCTGAATAAGGAAAAGGATTTTCCTTTTTGACACTTTTATCATTGATTGACAAGTATCAGTCAGGACTATGCATCTATTTAATTAACTTGAGCATTTCATTTAATTAACTAAGCAACCAATACTGTATTGTTTAAACATAACATGCATGAAAGTGAATGTATTTACTCACATTTAGTAAAGGTGAAGTCAAGAGAATAACCTTACCTATGTCAGAAACCTAAGTTCGAATAAATCATAGCAATCTGATAAATGACTCTTGTATCAGGTTCAAGGGTTGGTGTCTACAGCTGGCTTGCCTTCCTCTCAGGCTGCAACAGAAGTCACATTTGTCCCAAGAGAAACCCCTTCATCCTGGGACAAAGTGCAGTTGGGTCAGATATCCCTGCCTGTTGCCTCAGGACAAACCCTAGGAAGGTTCATGGAATAAGAATTGCTAACGCTTTGTCCCTGGATATCACAAAGTGTGTCTGAACAGTTATCCCAGGATTGCATCACTGAATCAATGGCAGAAAAGCAGCAGTGGATTCGGCTGCTCACCAAACCCTGATTGGAATGGAAGGGGACGTGTGGACACACCAATCCTGGGACGTTTCTGTTCCAGGACGAACACAGGCACCACTTGTCCTGGGAGAAATGCAACATGTGTTCCTCACATTGGCTGTGTATGGTCTATGTATGCAATGTTTAATGTTGGGGCAGGGGCACTTGTCTTATAACTGGGCCTGTACAAATGGAAAGAGATTTGGAAATGGGAAAACAATGAGTAAGGATATATGCATGCAGTATATAATATATAAAGGCAGTATATATGTGCGCACACATGTAATACATTAATGCAGTATGTGTAATATATGCATGCAGTGTGCGTGCACATGTAATATGAATGCAGTGTATATACTATGAATAGTGTGCACAGTATATGCATGCAGTGCGCACAATATATACGTGCAGTGCACATGTGCATAATATATCCATGCAGTGCACACGTATAATACATGCATGCACTGTGCGCATGCATGTGTGGAATACAGGAATGCACTGCATGTAATATATGCGTGCAGTGTGTGTAATACACCAATGTGGTGTGTCTGTGTAATAGATTCATGCAGTGCGTGCATGCGTAATATATGCAGGTGGGTGGTGTGTGCATGTATATGAATGTATGAATGTAGTGTGTGCTCACAAGTGTAATTTATAAATGCAGTGTGTGTGTGTGTGTGTGTGTGCCTGTGTGTAATATAACCAGGGGTGCGGGGGTGTAATGTATGAATGCAGTGCGTGTGTGCATTCAAAAGAACCCACACAGGCATCACCCACCTGGGAAACCAACTCCCCAGCCCAGAGGCTCTCAACCTTTGCCTGTGACTGGAGGCAGGCCAGGTCCGAC